TCTAATTTCAATATTCTGTGGGGTTGGTACCAGAAATAATAAAATACAGCAATAAGCATTGTATTTCCTTAGCCATTTCCATTGACTCTTTGAGGTTTTTTTAGTGCTTGAGAAACAAATGCTTCAACTTGTTTTATCAAACCTCCTGGCGCTCCCGCAGCCCATCACCGGAGTCATTTTCAGGGTATTGCATGCCAAAAAAAGCAGGGACAATCTGGAAGGAACAGGTGTATTGGCTTCTGTTGCTGCTTGAAGGAGTAAACACCTAATTTGCTGCTCCCACAAAGGAGGTAAACATTTAGCTCACAAAAAAGTTTCCTTCCCTCTGAGAAAGTCCCACTGGTGTCGACCTAAATAAATTCCAGAAGTCAATCTTTTTTTTTTAATAAAAAGTTTCCTCCCCTCTTGAGGTAGTGGTGGCACTCTATTTTGCACTGCAACTGCTTGTAAAGAAAGCTGCTTTATGCAAGCAGCTTGGACATTTTACTGTCTAGGGTGGTTTTGGCTGGAAGAATCATGGTGAGGTACAGCAGTTTGGGCTSACTTCTTGCTGCTGCTGGTGTGTTTTAGGCCTGCTGTTCTCATCATGTGTTTTCCAGGCAACACACTTCAGTCCAAACTCTTCTCTGGATGAGGGAAGATAAAAAAGAATAGAAAGTAAACTTTGCTGCAGATGAAGAAAAGGAGTATTTGAACAGGTGTCTTTTGAAGACTCGGGGAGTAACAACATTTTGAAAAACATAGCAGGCTTAGGTGGAGATTTGTGCAAGGCTGGTGGGTGAATCTGCATGTGCTCAGCTCAGTGTGTCCAGTGAGGCACCTGCACTGAGCCCAGAGAGYCCAGCCTGCCTTCCTCATGTCCCCCTACCCATCATCTCCAGACTCTCAGAGTGGGAGCAGCTGCTTAGGGAGACTGAAGAAGGGTTTGGATCTGGGGATGAGGACACTATGTCAGAACAAAACCAACGAAAACAGCACTGCCACGGAATTGCTCCTTTGCTTTACTTGTTGATTGCAACAAACCTGACCATCTTCCTCCTGGTTACTCCTTGTTTTTCTTAGTTTGMTTAGTCTCCAAAGAGGCTTCATTCACACTTTATAAAATACCATCAATACCTATCTCAGAGTTAGTCATCTTCATGTCTTCAAATATGTTCTTTTTTGTTTCTTTTCAGATTATGAGATTATTTCTTTGAGCTGAAAATAGGGATAAAAGTCTACAGGGCTGTACCTTAGCAGTGGCTTTCAAAATCAGGGTTCTCATGAAATCTGACTTACAGCAGTTGTTTTGGTTTTTTTATCTGATTGCTATAACCTCTTGTCTATTTTCCACAGCATATTTCTAATTCTTTAGAGTGTATCTGCAACAGCTGACTCTGAGGTTTGCATTAAATTTGAAAATTGTAGATCTGAAGCTGAAAAATAAGCTCTGTATTTCTGTGGTAAAAGGAGGTTTGCCAGGCCCCTTCAGAGGCGACAGCAGTTTTGTGGTTTGTTTCAGTTAACATGGGCTGCAGGCAGCATGTGAACCTCTTGGTGCCCTCACTGTGTGCACAGCTGTCTTTCCTCGATGAGTGGATTCGTGCAAGGGTTTGGGGGTTTTTTAGTTGGTGTTTTTTTTTTTTGATTTTGTTTTTTAAAATAACACCTGCACAGAAGTGGAGAGCTCTTTGGTTTCTAGTTCTGTCCGCGTGATTGTAAAGCAACTGTGCCAATACCATCCTTCAGGACATCTGTGAATGACTGTRTTTTCCACCCACGGTTCAAGTCGCTCTGTTTTAGATCTGTATTCTGCTGTTCAGACTCCTGAAAGATATTTTGTTATGTCCACTGGRCACTTTTCACAAGCTTGTTGCTTTAGACAGTTGAATTATGGATGGTGATTTTTTTTCATAGTCCAGGGTCTCAAGGTGCTCTTGTCTCATCTGTGTTGGAGAAGGTGTGTTACAGGTGGCTGGATCATTCATGTGGTCACCCTGTACATCTTTTTTTTTCTCTCCAGGAGATGATATTTCTTTTAAATTCCCTTTTTTGTGTTTTAGCCTAGCAYTTTCCAATGCTGCTTAGACTCTCTTAGCTTGCCTCTCTTCCTGAAATCATGCATCTCATTATAGCTTCCAAATTTGTTGCATTTTTCAAGTGAAATACTTGTTTGCCAAGTAMGAGTTTGCAGAGATGGAGTCTCCCTGGGTGTGTTGAACATGTACAATGGTCAGTAAATTTTCTRAGAAGCACCTGCCAGAGCCCTGCTTTGCTATGAGACAGTCCAGTACCTGGCACCAGACTTCTCTCCAGAAGAGTGTTCTCTGTGGGTGGGGTGCACTTACTTTTTATTGCATCTSCTTTTTAAAGATTTATCTATTGCCTTCAAAGCAGTTATTCAGTTTCTCTTGCAGTGACCCAAATGAAAGCTTGTTTCTTTTCTCTTGCCTTCATCTGTTTAGCACCTACTCCTGCTCTGGCCTGGAAGAAAGAGAAGTTGCTCAAGGGTGAATTGCTGTCTGACTGCTCTTCCAGTTCTGTCAAGAACTGAAGTCCTTGTCCTGGGAAGATATTTTTGATCTYCTTCTCATCAGCTCTTCACAGAGCTAATGCTCCCTCTCATTTTTATCCCCCTGATGTTTCCCTTTCCTTTCAAAAATAGTTATTTATCTGTACCTTTATCTGCATAGTCCTTTACTGACTGAGGAGGGTTACTCTATTATAAAATAATCTTCTAATAGTTCTGTCATTTTTCTTAAAGTATTTGAGCTTTTTTCATTTTGCAAAATACTAARTGGCACAGACCTATGACCTAGCCCCAGAGAAAACTCAATAGAAACATTGCTGCCTCTCTGTTTCCATGTAACTTTTAAAACTATAAAAGAACTACCTTCTTTTCTCACTTAATTCATATGAACCTGGGTTTGATTTCCCTCTTGCTTCTTGTGTAACTCARTGCTGAATATCTTAGAGAAATTCAGAATTATGGACTCAACGGTGGAGCCTTTATCAACAAAACTTCTAATTTCTGAGAGTTATCAATATTGTTTGCTACTATCTGCTTTCCATACCCATTGTTTGTCATTGCTTCTACTATTAGCCTTAATCTCAGGTCTTTTACCTGCTCTTCTGCTGTGCTCCTGGGRTCTCTGTCAGAGCAGGAGGATGGGCTTTTTGTTCTTGCAGTCACTGGGGTRGCATCACTTCTCTGCCAGGTACCTGCAACTTATTGAATGCTTTTCTGAAAACCACTATTAAAGGTCTGATGACCTTCTCCACCAGCTTTTAACACTTTGAGACTACAAGTTAGCCAGACCAGTCAATTTCCATATGTTTAACCTTTTGTACCTTGATCTTACTTCTTCTTGAGTATTTCTGCCTCTCCTGCTAACCTTTCTACAGTTCTTAACAGTTCTCTTATATGTATTTGTTACTCACAGCTTTCAGTATTTTCAAATTATGATCCATATGTTTAAGGTTGTTTTATTTCTTTTTTTTTTTAAAAGCTGGTTATCACACTATTTTGCTTATTGGATTGTTTATTATTTTATATATATAGTGTATACATATATATTTATATGTAATATTTTATTTATTATGGTCTTTTTCATCACTGAAGAATTTCTCAGCTATAATTTAATTTTTTTTWATTTAAATTTCCTCTTCTGGTTGATTTTGTGCATAATGACTCCCAGCTTTGTGAACCTGGAACTTCCAAAGAGCCAAGTGTGTAATTCTGTTTGCACATAATTACATCTGTTAAATGGCCTAAGCAACAGTCAATTTCTGTTCTCTGATCAGTTTTTCCATGGCAGATTGAGATGTAAGGAAGAATTCCTTTCATGTGGATACAATTTGTTCTGAGCATGAAAACTGACACATGAAATGTCTTCAGGACACTTTGGTGTTGGCACCAAGAGACACCCAGTGCATTTCACACTGAAGTTGGTGCAGATTTTTGAAGTATTGTGGTTTYACCCCAGCCAGCAGCCAAGCCCCACGCAGCTGCTCACTCACTCCCCCACAGTGGGATCTGGGAGAGAATCAGAAGGGWAAAAGCTGGAAGACTCGTGGGTTGAGATAAAGACAGTTTAATAGGGAAAGCAAAAGCCACACACTCAAACAAAGCAAAGCAAGGAATTAATTCACTGCTTCCCATGGACGAGCAGGTGCTCAGCCATGCCCAGGAGAGCGGGGCCACATCACATGGAATGGTGATAACTTCCCAATGACATGGAAAGACAAACACCATCAGTCCAAACATCCCCTCTTCTTCCTTCTTATCGCCAGTTTTGTACACTGAGCATGATGTCACATGGTCTGGAATGTCCTTTTGGTCAGTTTGGGTCACCTGTCCTGGCTGTGTCTCCTCCCACCCTCCCAAGTTCCTCCCCAGCATGGCAGCAAAAAAGCAGAAGCGGCCTTGGCTCTGTGTGAGCCCTGCTCAGCAATAACAGAAACATCTCTGTTATCAACTGAGTATTTAGCATAAATCCAAAGCACAGCCCCATGCCAGCCACTCTGAAGAAAGATCACTCTAAAACCAGCACACAAAAGTGGGCAGATGCTCAAGAAAATGAGTACCCTGCACTCTCTTGTAATTGCCCAGGCTGGACTTCTTGAGCTTGTGCAGTTGGGGCATTCAATGCATCTTCTTCTCAGCTGTCTGTGARCTAGGAATGGAGAATGACAGAGCACCACTTTCTGAAATTTGTGTTCAGTGAAACCTTCCTAAATTTAAGGTTAACTAGGATTTTTCAAGTCTTACTACAAGGATTTWGTTATCAGATTTAAACAAGGTAAACCGGAGTGAATTTGTGCTCCTTTGAGGGTCTCAGTCCCTTTTGTCTCTGACCAATGCTCATATGATTGGAGCAGAGGCTGTTGGAGAACTCTTCTCCAGGTGTCATATTGATGCACTTTATTTTGCTCCAAATATCTTTATCATGAGCTGAAAATGTTCTTTTATTCCTTCATTGATTTCCTCCTTTGTATTAACATCATGTTCTTCGGTCTAGTCAGCAAGGAACCTGGAAAGGTTTGCTTTTTTCTACTGAGATGGGGTGACCTGAACTCTGCCAATCCTTCTCTCTGTTCAAGGTAAGATGAATTTCCACAAACCCACAGCCTCCTGTGTCCCTCCTGATTTCTTTAACAAATAATCAGGAATTGTCCTGTGGATGATAGCCAGCATTCTTACATACCTTCAATTTAACTTCAGAATGTATATAATTTCAAAACAGCAGCTTTCTGCAGGAAAAGAAAATGATTATATCATTAAAAGTTGTGTGAAGCACACGAGGAGAATGAATTAAGATGACACAGGCAACATCTGTTCCAATACATTATGATTTTGGAATATGAAATATATAATGTGCTTACATTGATTTGTGTATGCATAACATACATATAAAGTTTCAAAAGTTTCAAAAGTTTCAATTTTACATATCTTTATGAATTTTTGTGCTGAAGTATGCATATTTTTCTCTTAAACTTTTCCCAAACACCCTAATAGACACCTTAGATAGAAAAAACCTCAACAAAACAACAGATATCCTAACAGTATGTGGAGTATTTGGATGACCAGACAGAAAAATTTGACATGTAATAAGGACTCATTCAGTTATGGTATTTAGTTATTTTCTGGAAAACAGATACAATATTTTTTCCTAAAAAAAAGTCATATTTTTAAATGCTGTTCAGTTTCTTGTTTTAAAACTGAACTCACGATTCAGTGTACTTTATCTCTTTCTGCCAGTGGAGCATCCTTTGCCAGCTGAGTTGCATCTGGAGATGCGGTCTCTGCTACAGCTTCACTTTGTTGATGAGTTCCTAGTTTCTGAAATGGRCTGGGAATAAGTGAGGAAGCAGTAAGTAGACCCCCAGGGCACTCTCCCTTCTGCTTGAGATGGAGCCATCCCATGGCCACGAAGCCAAAGCCTTGGCACAGCCTCCCYGTGTACTTCAATCGCAGTAATTCAGCCTGGAGCTGAAATTTGTATTAGTCACAGTGCATCCTCGCTGGCAGAAAGRGCAGGGGGAAAGCAAGCATATTCCGTCACTAATACCAACTAATAATAACCTGAGCTTAGCTGCAAGCAGAGAAAAGGTGGCAGAGGTGACGCAGGAGAGCTGAAGAGCTCTCAAAAAGGCCTCTGGCTGCTGCTGGTGGAGCCAGACTTGARTTTCTGCCATCACGCATGGGGGAGGCAGTGACAAAGTGATTAATTTCTCCTTGGCAGGTGATTAATTCTCTGTGGCTTCCAAGAGAGGCTGCCAAAGTTGGACAGAAACCTGCTAAAGGTGCTAGAATACTCCAAACGTGGAAACTGGATGAGAAGACAGAAGTTTGCTTCAAAAAAATGAAGCCTTTACAGAGCACTTGTGGGGTAAGCAGAGCTGATGGATGGCAGCGAGCAGGGGAGCATGGTTATAATGTGCACTTTTAAAGAGAGYCAGGAACTCTTGAATCTTAATCTGAGGACTGGTGCCAACTCTTTCCCAGATCCTGGGCAAGGTGAAGTCCACTCTTGTTGAAACCACAGGGAGTTTTTGCGTTCGTTTCAGCAGGGCCAGGATGTCACTTTTCTTGAAGGAGTAACATGGACTGAAGTGAGGAAAGGTGTCTGACAATAAATTAATCACCTTTTACACTAATAGATACATTATTGTCACTGCCAAGAAATCCCTTGTACATAATCTTCAAGTTAACACTAAGTTTTATTTAAGAAAAATAAAATAATAACCATCCAAACCACTTGCTGATATCATGTGCTGAAAGGCTCTGTATGGCCAAACGTTTCAGTGTCTTGTGGCCCATAACATTTCAGTTCGCCTTCCATAGTTGCTGAGTTGTTAACTTGCCAGAAAACTMCACAGCTCATCATACCCAAAAAAGSAAATATTTAATGCCTTTTGCCCTGCACTTAGTGTGAGTAGAGGTTCCAATACCTGCCCCATCACTAGAAATTTGGGGTTTGCATGTTGACCTGAGAGCAGAACTGAGGAGAGTGCGATGGAGAGAGCTGGGGTGAGCGAGTGGTTAACTCTCTGCTGGATGTTGACTGGATTTCTGGTTTGGTTATTTTTTTTTTTTGTGCATGAAGGGCAAGGTTCCATTTCTGGCAGTGAGGGAACTGCTGATMACATCCTTGGCTGAGAGGGCCCAGAAGTGCCTTGTCACTGCTGCGGGATCATGGGCTTTTCTTATGACTCCTGCTCATTCATTTCACTGGAAAATAAAACAATTCACCATGAATTCAGGAGGCAGTACTAGTTTCAAAAAGGTGTATATGAAATAATAATTTCCTTCATTTAGAAGGTGTTGGGATTGGTGTCTTTTTCTACACAGGCAGGTTGGTCAAGAAAGGACAGAGACTAATGAGTAGGACATTTCATAGCATATGAGAATTAGGAAGTTTCTGTATGTACAAAACCTTGAAACCTTTTTTTTTTTTAATTTTTTTTTTATTTCTTATTTTTAATGGGTTTGTTTTACATAGGTGCATRTCCTTTTAGTTTCACTTTAGGTTTTTGTGTTTAGCATGCCCCAGAGTGATAACGAGGATTGCACTTGACTCGCAGCACAAATGTCGTGAAACAGCAAACCTTTAACAAARCCCCTGGCATCACTGGACATCTGGCCATGCTTGGAAGGGTCAGGCTGCTGAGAGATGTGCACCACAGAGCAGCAGGGCATGTGTTACACGTGCAGCTGGACACTGGTGGCAAGGAGACTGGGGTTTGGGTTGGCTAAATTTCATAAACATTAGATATGGTTTGAGAAAATCACAAAGCTGATTATYGTTGAAAGATGCAACTGTGAAATGTTTCAGCATCCTGAAAAGAAGCTTTTTTGACATTATCATTCCTTTAATTTTCACACAATTTATCCTAGGATTTGTGTTAGACACAATCATAAATAATCAAGAAAGGGTGGATGAGTGACAAGGTGGCAACTTTTCTGGATAATGCACAGTTGTTTAGGATAGAGGAAACCAGAACTTAAATAAAACASCCTTAATTTTAAATGCATAATGAGGAGGTCTATTTCAGTTCTTACAATTCAGAAAAAAAGATCTTGGAAATACTATGGATAATTTTAAGATACATCTCATATTAGTACTCAGAAGAATCATAAAGGTATAATATATATAAGTAACACCTTATATATGATGAGAAAAATAATACAGAAATACAATAATATCACTATTTAAATTCATGAACCCATCCCAAATAGTAGAAATAGTTCTGGTTGGTCCAATTCAAGAAAAGAGGCAGAAAAATYGAGAARAAATCCAAAGCAARCAARCAAACAAACAAAGAAAAAYTGCAACTCAAAACAAAAAACTGAAAAACATTCACAGTAGTTTGGCACTCTTTGGCTTGGAAAAGACAAAGCATCGTGAATGGAATAATGCATTTTTTTATAAAACCTTAGAGATATTAGAGAGAAATTTATGCAGATTGCATGCTGCTCTTGTAGTTTAACAGATTCAGAGGCACCCACAGAAATTATTAAATAGAATGCAATATAAACACAAGGAAAATCTGTTCCACACTGTATGCAATTATGTAGAATTGATTGTTACTGACTGACATGGAGTTAAAGAATATGAATGGTCTCAAAGGTATTAAATGAGAAAGGAAAGGTCAGTCTCTCTGTAGCAAAAAAAGCCCACATTGCATCCCTCAGGTGTGTAAGTCACAGCTGGCTGGAGCAGTGGAAGGTGGAGAGTGGTTGTGTTCAGTGTTTCCCCCACAACCATGAGCTTCAGCCACAAGCACAGGGGACAGGAGCGAGCCCCTACAGGACACTGAGCCTTCCAGCCCCTTCTGGGAGCTGCCTCTGCCATTTTCCTGTGTCTGAGTTTTCATCTTGGAAATTCAGGTTTGCTTACCRATTTGATACAATCCAATCAGGATGAATTAGAATTTCCTGTGGGACAAGCCACCTTAATTTGGTGTAATTCTTGTGTCTGTGACATGAATCAGTCTAGCTTGCATTGAGAAGGAAGGCACAATTCTGGAAAGAAATCTGTGCTTTTTAGAAAGGAAGCTTGTCTTTAGAAGTAAGTAATTTTCTCTCTGAAGTCAGACAAGGTTACGTGTAATATTTTTGTCCCTATGATGTTATTGCACACCTGAAAACAAGCTGCAGGCAGTAATTTGATGCCTGAATATGTGTCTAGCTGTCAAGACCTAAGTGATTAGCAGACCTTGGCAACACAGAATCACAGAATCACAGAATCACAGAATCACAGAATCACAGAATAAGCTGGTTTGGAAGGGACCCACAAGGATCATTGAGCCTACATCCCAGCCCTCCACAGCATCATTTCTGACAAACACACCGTGTGTTCCAGAGCATTGTCCAAACACTTCTTGAACTCTGCCAGGCTGGTGCTGTGACCCCTTCCCTGGGGAGCTGTTCCAGTGCCCAGATGCYCTCTGGGTCAAGAATCTTTTTCTAACATCCAGCCTAAACACCCCTGACACAACTTCAGGCCATTCCTTCAGGACACTGGAGAAGAAGTGTCCTGAAGAGAAGAGATCAGTGCCTGCCCCTCCTCTTTCCCTCACAGGGAAGTGGTWACTGCAATGAGGTCTCCCCTCAGTCCCCTCTCCCCCAGGCTGARCAGACCAAGTRCCCTCAGCYACTCCTCACAYRGARTGAATAYATTCAGCTTCAAAGGAGTGTGAAAAAACTTTGAGYTCTCCCTCTACCTTATAATGTCCATACAATATAAGATCATCTGTGGGTGCACCCCAGAAATACYCTGCAGGCAGCTGCAGYGAGGGCAGCYRTGGGCTGACCCCCAATTCCTGTACCTGCTCTGACCATAGAATGGGGCCACTGAGTGTGCAGGGMCACTTGTGTGCATAAAGAATTGTCCCTGGCTTCTCCAGCAGCCTAACTGGGTCACTGAGGGGTGTGATTGTTTACTCAAATGATTGGCCCAGYGAACAGGCACGTCTTTCCTGGGACATGAGCTAGCAGACTAATAATAGCTTTACTCTGGTAAAGTGGAGGCCAAAGGAGATGGTTTGCACCTTTTGAGTCCTAAAAATCCTGTCTGTGGATAAAGTGCAGCAATGTATAACTCTGGAAATAGATGGCTGTATTTTTCCTTCCAGTATTCCAATTCAGTTCCTAGTGCTGATGTTGCAACACAGGTGATGGAGAAGGTGGGGTGTGTAAGACACCATGAACTCATCTCCACTGTGACACCGACAGGAAGCCGGGAGCATCACAGGGTAAACCAAGGGGCGTCTTCAGATCGTTAACTTAAMAAAACCCACCCAAAAACCAGACACCCACACCCACACTGTTATTCAAAAACCAGARTACCATCAGGAAGCAGTGAGTCACCATGTGGCCATTGCCTTTTTCTCGTTAAGGTGTTTCCCAAATGTGAAATTTMGGCTTCCTCTTCCCTTTAGATGGAGTACCTGGTATCACTAGGTAAGCAAAAGCCGTTTTATGTTTATGACCAATACAAATGTGCATAACAGCAAGGAGGAAAATAACTTATTTTTAATGTGATGGATGAGCATCCAGAGGATTGGGTGTTGGATCCTTGGCCTGTAAGAACCAGGGAGTTTGTAAGAACAGCAATTGTGTGCAGTGGTTTGGCTACGTGACACCACAAACACCCAGTGTGATGTTGGGGTGGGGAGTGGGGCACAGCCCCTCACCTCCAGCCCCTCCTCATCCYGAGCAGAGCTGRGCTGAGCTGTGTGGGTGTARGGATCTGCWGCAACAGGTGTGYTTGCGTGAGGAGGCTCACAAGGCACCAAACGAGTTGCCCAACATATTTTTAATAGATTATTGCCAAAATGAAATGACAGAGAATCAGAGTTACTGCCTCAAGAAGGTCATGGAAGTTGTTTGTATTTTAAAACGTCTTGTTAGCATATGTTGTGGCATTGCTATTAAAGTAACCCATTCAGCCTAATATAATACATCTAATTATATGACGTGAGCTTCATCTGATGACTTTTGCCAATTATGTCTGACAAGGATATTTTAAATGAAAGGCCATGTGTTACAGCAGCTTCAGGAGATGAGCACAACAGCATATGCTTTCAAAAATAAAATATCCACTGTGTTATTTGCTGTGATTAAGTACCTACCAATGCAATTGCAAGGTAGGGAARCAGGTCTTTCTGGTTTGTGAATTATGCCAGTGCTGAGTCATCGCTGTTTTTTTTTAAAAGTTTATTATGAATGAAGGGCTGGGTCAATGCCAAATTCCATGTTCCTGGCTGCTTCTTTTGTTCCCTTGCAAATTATTCAAATCCCTGGAAACAAATGTCTTAAAATGAAAACTCTGAAAGTTGCAGAAGAAATATCTTAAACTCATAAATTCAAAACAACCTGCACAAT